GAGATGATGATGTCACCAATTCCCTATTTTAGTAATAGTTAATAGATTTTCAATTGTTAGAATTTAAACTTAGTGATAACTAAAACTACTATTGATCAAAGATTAGCATCGGCATACGTGCCAAGGAGAAATGGAGCAAGTATTTAAAAACAGAGGGAGTAATAGTTAATAGATTTTTTGAAGGATAGAAAAAAAAGTTATAAGTTGTTAAATTATTACAAAAATATTATTTAACAAAAAACTAATTCAATTTTTTTTTTTGGTGTTCCACCCGCTTCACCCTTTGGGCTAATCCGGATTCGGGGCTCAATTTTGAGTGGTTAGGTTTCAGTCCCCTCCCAATTGTTGTTGCTGGGGGATCGCACACGCGGTCCTCCCTACCAAGTGCAGCCTCAATCACCACTACACCAACAACCAATTGGTAAAACTAATTCAATTATGAATATTCATAAGATTTCAAATCAACACCATGAATATAAAGTTTTTTTTTCTTTTTCCTATGAACCCCACCATTGTATTTTTGGCTCCATTATTTTATACTCTCCACCATATTTCAACCTTCTAAGTTATAGCTTATTCTCCCTTAATTAAAAGGTCTCAAAATCTTGCGTAACTATTTTAAGTAATAAAACACAAAATATAAAGGAATACAATTATTATAAAGATATTTATTTTTTTGGGTGTTCTACCCAATTCACCCTTAGGGTTAATCTGGATTCGGGGATCAATTTTGGGTGGTTAGGTTCCAGTCCTCTCCCAATTATTGTTGCGGGGATCGAACACGGGTCCTCCCAAGTGCAATCTCAATCACCACTGCACCAACAACCAATTGGTTATAAAGATAATACTACATATATAAAATTAGGAATAATATTATTATAATTGTATCATACAAATATTCCAAAAATAAAAGATTTTTGCTAAAAAAGGAGGGGGAGTCTTGGAGGGAAAAAAACAGCACCAAGAAGTGACACGTGTCGTTCCTAGTGTCTGTTTTTGTATTTTGTTATTGATGATTCTACATTTAGCTCTCGCATCATTTTCAATTTTTTTCAATTGAATTGAATTTTCTTCCTAAAAGATTATTTTAAAGAGAAAGAAAATGTAGTTTTTAAATTTTTTCAATGAGAAAAAAATATTAAAATAAATAAGTGGAGTAATGATGCACAAAGAATAAGAAAAATTAGAGGGTAATTTTGGCACTTTACCTAATAAATATAAAAAATAAAAATAAATAAAAAAAGGAGGGCAAATGGGTGATTTTCAAGGAACATTAAATGATAAAAAAGGAAATGAGAATTATATTTAGGAACACTAAAAATGAAAATGGAAACTATATTTAGGGACGGAGGGAGTAGTTGACCATTGGATCAAATTGCGTTATATAGTGGCCTAGTGGCATTTAATTCGAAAAACAATCTATTTTAAGTTCTTAAGACGTTATTGACATGTTTCAAGTATGTTATAAGAGGGGACTTGTTTATGAAGAGTCGCATGTAAATTAACAAAGGGTCAGGTGACTAACATATACCCAGTAACTACATAAGTTTTGAGTTGGTGAACTTGCATGTCGTCAGATTCTTATCATGGTTAATTAAAAGGATTTAAATTGTCAAACTTGAATGTGCAATGCTATAAGTCTCTATTTGACAATAGCTGTTGATGGAGTAGGTTTAGGACATGTTCCTGTCAAAAAAAAAAAAGGTTTAAGACATGTTCGGCAATATCCTTGAAGTATTCAATTGTATTGACTTTGTTACAATCTAAAATTATGAGTAGGTTTTATCAAATAATGGTGGATATATAATAGCTCCATTTCATAAATAACATAACATATGCATGTGTTTGACCTCATAACATATAAATGATGACTAACATCTAAGATCCAACATCTACCTCGACCATTTACAATTGGTTTTAGGTTAGAATCCTCCAAGGCATAATGATGCATGTAGGTTTTTTTTTTTTTTTTTTTTTTTTTTTTTTTTTTTAATGCAAACTTGTGCAATGGCCCATTCTTATCAGCCATCTTAATGATAAAAGTTTTTGAAGTAGAAGTTGAAGCTTAATTAAGATAGTAGAATTTTTTCATATACTTAGTTTTAATGAGAACATACATGTTTTGAATCTTTTGATAATTGCCAAGAAAATCAAATAAAAGTCAATTATTAGTTACAATTACGACAATCACCCCAATTCAATTTACAATTGGCCAATCAATTTTTCAAAAATCAATAACTTTTTAAAAGTTTAATTAAGAAAATTTAAGTTATTGATTCTAACCAAAATCAAATCTTATTGTTGCTATCGCTATATATTACGAAGTATTATTATTATTATTATTATTATTATTATTATTATGTATCAACTAATAGAATGGTACTACTCCATAAAACATCTTTACTATTTCTTGCCTGGACAAGCTTCCTAAGCAAATATTCCTTCCAATTATTGCCACCTCAAATTAATAGGAAGTATTTCTCTACTAGCATTAAACAATAATACTCGTAGCTCATAGACTTTCGTATGACACATTCCAAATATTTGGTCTTATACGTTACGAAGTACCAAAGTTGATGCTCGACTACTTGACGCTATATCATTGGCTTTATTGCTCTAACAAGTACCCAATAACTATATTTAATAGGAACTTTTTTTTTTTTGTTTTATTTTTGGGTGTTTGAAACCCCAGGGACATTAACACGATCATAAGCACTCAAAAATCCTTCTAGAGCACTATAGGTATGATTCGCGAATCTTTATCAACGAAACTAGTTAGCATTCACATTTATGTTGTAGATTTGGAGGGTTGATTATCAATTCATTATTAGATGAGGTCACTGAGTTTCAAGTGTGAATAAAACATTCATAAATCTATATAGTCTACTAGCTTAGGAGACTTTAAATGGTTGGTTGCCAATTGACTGCATTTTAAATACTATTTGTAGAACTTTTACACTAAGTACAATATATTTATAATAATGTAAGTTTCTAAATTTCTTTATCATTATAAAGTTCTTTTTCGCCGCATTGTTTGTTTAAAATGCAAGTGTCTAATATTGTACTATACTGATAGTTGATAGTTTGTAGCATGTATGTTCCATATTATATCAGAAAAGTGACTGAGTATAGGGCAAGTAACATTACTTTGTGTAAAGTCTTCGTATTATAATGCGAGAAGAAAAGGTAATGTTTCGGTTAGAAATCAATGGGACCTTAAGAAGGTCCAAACTAGAGGGGAAAGTCTGTCTCGGTCCAATTAGCAGCGGAGCCGAGGGTTTCCTGCACAGCAAATACACGTAAACTAGCCCCGGGGGTGTAGCCGAGGAAGGCCCCTCCGATGCTAAAGTCAGTATATTTTAGAGAGAGAAAGCTATGCAAGATATTAGTTGCTTGAAGCTTTTTTTGCATGAGAGAGAATGGACCAAATGAATGGCTTTTATACCTTGACATTATGGAGTATGGATTGGGCCGGAAGTCAATTGGGCTTGCCAAGTTGACTGGGCCGTTGACTGACCTTAGCATGATTTTGGAGGATGTTGACTTTTGCTTTGGGCTTGTAATTTGAGTTATTTGGACTAGGCCCAATTGAATTAATGAAATTGGACCCAAACAGGTAATAAATTTTTTTAGGGTAAGATATTAAGTTGTTTGCATGTCGATTATAAAATAAAAATGTCAATAACTATTAGATATCTAATAATTAGCCAATAAAATGTGACTAGATAATTGTACTAGAAATGAGTATTGTAAGGGTCATTGAAAGATAAAATTGCGTTATCACAAAAGTTGTGGCCTCGTAGGTTGTAGGTGTTCAAAAGCATATTTTCCATGCCCATTTTTTTTGTTGTGCCATATATAAGACTTACAATATTTGAAATTTATACTCCCACTATATCTGAATAAGTTTATCACTCTGACTTTTACACTATTTAAATACTAACTTTAACTTGATTTTTAATTAGCTAATATATTAAAACCAAATGTTATAATGTAAACTTTTGTTAGATTAGTTACAAGGTATATTTTCATAATATCAGATTATTATAAGTTAAACTAATATAAAATTAATAATACTCATGGTCAAAGTTGTGCCAACTAAAATGATAGATTTATTTAGAAATAGAGAGAGTAACATACTCGGAATAATAATCTAAATACAATAATAAGATTGTATGTGGTGTACAATTTTTTCTCTCTACAAGACATTCATTGGGGAATTTGTTATACTGGTAGAAGCGTAAGAAATAAGCACAAGTGGCTTACAAGCTTACTAAGCTTTTCAACTTTAATACCTCTCTCTTAATCATAAAATTTCACTAATAAGGATTTTTTTTCTTCTATTAATAGGGAGTAAATTAGCAGGATCTTGTCAAAGCATTTTAAAAGTAAAGTATTGAGTCAAATTCGTAGCTTGAAAAGATGTGATAGAAGAGTAACAAAATAATTCCAGTGTTTCATAAAATTGCAACACTTTGTTCAAAAAGCTCTCATACATTTTTAGTCTAAGTATTGCAACTTTATTTATTTATTTTAATGTTATATAAAAAAAAATAAAAAATAAAAAACCTCATTAATGACTAAAGAAATGTTTTTTTGCATGCATGTATTGTTTGGCTTATTCCATGACATGATTGACAAGAAACATTAATTCATGAGTGGGGATGATTGGAATCCAAGAGATTTTCTCATTTGTGGATTTTTCATGACATGAATAAAAATAAAAGTTCATTATCGAATGTGAATGATCTTATTAATTGCGTAACTTTCAAAATTCATGACGTCTATATTTTGGTAATTTAAAATTGTTAAAATTGTATACTCTTATCTTTTTTCTACAAAATTAGTCTCTACCTCTAGTAGAGGGCCTCTAATCATGAGATGACTCTAATAAGATTATTTTCATTATTTATATACAAGTGTACTTCGTATTGCCTAGTTAAGTACTAGAACTACAAATTTATTCCATCCTTTCTTATAAAAATCCTAGATTTCTTCAAGTGTTGAAGTAATCTAACAATCTTTTTTGTGTATTCTGAAATCTAAATAATGTGTGAGTTTGACATAAAAGACTCTAAAAGTGTGTCTTCATCACATGAAAATCCCTCAAATGGGAAACATTCTAACATGAAACAGGAGGGATTACAATCTAAACAAAACTTTTTCAAGGAGTTTAAGGATGGCTTTGAAGAAACCTTTTTTTCGAGTAATCGAATTAATTCTTTAAAGGGTGATCAGTCACATTTTAAGAAGTTTATTTTAGTCTTACAAGCTGTTTTCCCTATCCTTGGATGGGCAAAATCATACAACTTTTCGAAATTTCGAGGGGACCTTCTTTCAGGAATCACTATTGCTAGCATGCAAGTTCCTCAGGTAGAATCAATTTTCCACTAGAAAATGACTTGTAACTTTGTAAGATACTCTTGTTTTGTACTATAAATTTTGACAGTTTTTCTTGTTTGATAACTAATAAACAGGACATTGCATACGCAAAGCTCGCGAATTTGGCTCCTCAGTATGGTTTATGTGAGTTACCTACTTGCCTTCTGTTGCTAATCATACTGTAGAAAAACTTAATCAGGAAAGAAAAGTTCTAATCGCGCTATCTTGCATACTGTACTGCAGACAGCAGCTTTGTTCCTCCTCTGATATACGCTGTGATGGGAAGCTCAAGGGAGCTGGCTATCGGACCTGTGGCAATGGTGTCTCTGATTATGGGGACTATGCTGCAGAAGGAGTTTGATCCTGTCAAAGAAGCTGATGACTATCGACGTCTTGCATTCACAGCTACATTCTTTGCAGGCATCATTCAATCTGCTCTAGGACTCTTAAGGTATGCATGTGTTCTCATGACGCATGATCTTTGTTTAGTTATATGAATGATATGCGTTGAAGCAGAAGCTAACAGTTTTTGGATAAATTCAACATACTCCCTGTATCCCTATAATATAGGCCACAACTTATAAGGAGATTAGATTGCGAGTAATTCATATATCTTTAAGGGCCGGAAGGAGTACTATATTGACCTGTTCTTATTATGGTTTCAGGTTGGGCTTCTTAGTGGATTATCTATCTCATGCTGCAACAGTTGGTTTCATGGCTGGAGCAGCCATAGTTATAGCCCTTCAACAGCTTAAAGGCTTACTAGGAATAAAGAAATTTACTAAAAAGACAGATATTGTCTCTGTTATGCACTCAGTTTGGAGTGTAGTTGAACATGGAGTAAGTCTAATTGATAGGACTAACTTCTTTATAATTCTTGCTATCATTTATTAGTGCCTTCATAGTGCTAATTTTCTCTGATTCTTGGTCATTTTGACAGTGGGATTGGCGAACAATCGTTCTAGGAGTATCATTTGTGGCATTCCTTCTTGCTGCCAAATACATTGTAAGATTTTTTTGGCTCTTAAGGCTGTTTAATTCATTGTTTTTTATACTATACTTTTTGATCAATTTTACAAGTAATTCGTATTTACTTAGGGAAAGAGGAACAAAAAATTGTTTTGGGTTTCAGCAGTTGCTCCGCTAGTCTCTCTGATCCTCTCCACATTCATTGTTTACATCAGCCGTGCTGACAAACATGGTGTTAAAATTGTAAGTGATCAACCAATTAATCATATTAAGCACCCGAACTCCTTCATCTCTGTACATTTATCTGGTAACACAACCCTTTTGATTCATTTTTTTCAGGTAGGACATATACCTAAGGGTGTTAACCCATCATCAGTTGACGATATATATTTTTCTGGAACCAATCTTGCTAAAGGCTTCAAAATTGGTGCTATTGTTGGTGTAATCGCGCTAGCTGTAAGCATCTCCAATCAGCCTATACATATATATACTATCTTTTGTCTATAAGTGTAGAAGACACTTCATATACATATCATAAAATCAGTTTACTGCATAGTCAGCATGTTTTTCGGTCTTTGTTCCTGTAGGAAGCACTAGCTATCGGGAGAACATTTGCAGATATAAGAGGCTATGAGCTGGATGGAAACCAAGAAATGGTAGCACTCGGAGCCACAAATGTAGTCGGCTCCTTGACATCTAGCTATGTTGTCACAGGTAAGAATTTCTTCCAAAAAAAGAAAATTGTAATAGTTCAGAATGAGTTTTGATCAGCAAACATCAGCTCTTATAGCAATTGATCCCTTCTTTTAAATTTTATTGAGCACCTAGCTAAATTTGCTCGCGTACAGGAGGGTTTGCCCGCTCTGCAGTAAATTATATGGCTGGTTGTAAGACAGCAGCCTCCAACATTGTGATGTGCTTCATAGTACTATTGACTCTCATGGTGATAACGCCTTTGTTCAAGTATATCCCAAATGCCATACTTTCTTCTATCATCATATCTGCTGTGCTTGGTCTGATTGACATCAAAGAGATCATACGAATATGCAAAATTGACAAGTTTGACTTTGTTGCTTGTATGGGTGCCTTCTTCGGCGTAATTTTTCACTCAGTGGAGATCGGCCTGCTGATAGCAGTAAGAATGATACATCAATAAATTTATTTTTTTCACCCAGATGAAAATTTATTCAGCTTTAAGAGAAATTTTGTAATCAGGTCTGCCTATCAATCTTCAAGATCATGTTCAGGATGACGCGTCCACAAACTACAGAACTCCGAAAGCTTCCTGGCTCTTCTGAGTATAAGAATATTCATCAGTATTCTGAGGCAAGAATGGTTCCAGGTGTTCTAATTATCAAAGTTGACTCAGCAATCTACTTCGCCAACTCTAACTATATCAGAGACAGGTACACAACTACACATTCCGCCATCATATAACATGGTTTAGTCATTTCAAACACTTTCTTAGGGTCAATTACCTAGCTAGTCCACTGATGCAGGATAATGAAATGGCTGAATGAGGAGGAGGAACAGCTTGCAGACAAGAACCTCCCCGAAATCAAACATCTTATAATTGATATGTCATGTAAACATCTGATAAAACTCCCGAATATCTTGTTCCACAACTTCTTTTACCCTGGCTTTCAATTAAGGAGTATTTCTGAAGATATTTTTATATTTTTACTGGTTGCAGCTGTTGCAGATATTGATACCAGTGGTACACATGCCCTTGAAAAGTTATACAAGACCCTTGAAAAGAAAATTGTGAAGGTAAACACACAAACATGGCGCAAAGTTCTGATTTGATGTCATCAAATTAATGATCCATGCACAAAGCTCTAGTTTGAACTAATCTTAATGATCTATGTGTTTTCGCGTTTGCAACAGCTTGTAATAGGAAGTCCAGTGCAATTCGTAGTTGACAAACTCCATTCATCTGGGTTAGTCAAGTTAATTGGAGAGGATTATATCTTCACATCAGTCGCAGATGCTGTACTTACATGCTCATCTGCAACACAAGAACCATGAGCTCACCTTTGTGCTCAAGTCATCTTGTCTTTACTTCTAGAAAAATTACAATTCCCTCTCTCCGGGACTAATTTGTCCCAGTTTAATGGTCCTTCTAACAGAAACAGCTCCAAATGAACGGGGAAATGATAAGAGTACAAAATCGGCATTCATTATTTCACAGGCAAATTAAACCCGCATTCTTACTCTCATATCTGTAAGGCAGAAATTATTCAGCATGATTACAAATATTTTTAGAAAAAAAAAAAAAGAAGCTAAAGCTCATGTAAGAACTTGGCTTCGAATGCTCATGTTTTTCCTTCGCATGCTAAACACATTGATAAAATTGAACTTATATATATACGAGTAGAAGACAAATGGATCTTACAATCACAAATCTCTAAAGCAAAAGATAGATCCAATCCTAAAAACTATCACTAAACTGAGATTGAAACTTTGGAATGGAATATGATGTCATTTAGCTAAATGCAACTGAAAACTTCCCAGAATTAATAACATCTCATTACCAATACAAATTCTGCAAATCTCCGACAAAAATGCAAACACGGCCATCCCACGCTTGAACTATAATCTAAAAACACCACCATAGACAAATGTCAACCCAATAAAATCTCAAACACACCAAAATTATGAGGCAGCAGCAACTTGCTTCCTTGGGGCTGCTTGCGTACCTGGTTTGACAAGCAGATTAGTAAGCCATTGGGAGGAAATATGTAACAAAATAATCATATAGGAAATTTTTTGGGGCTAAGATGAAAACAATACCTTCTCTGAAACCAGTCTTAAATCTCCTGGGGACATTACGAAGGTACCTCATCCTACCAGTTCCTGTTGTCTTTCTCCTGATTGCCTTCATACTCCAGTTATCTGCAATGCAACACAAAAGGGGCAAAGTTAAGAAAACATTGCAAAACAGAGGTTGAAGTTGAGACACCAAATATCAAACTAGATTTGGATGAAAATTGATCACTAATTTCGACAAAAGGAACAAGCAAACAAATTTCAGGGGACTACAATCTTCCCAACTCAGAACTTACAAGCAACCGAACAAATATATTTGTCAAACCACCCTATTCCAAAGTCATCCACACATTCCAAATCATCGATTTACATCTACATTGGAGCACGAAGCTGATGAAACCTAAACTTTTCCAGCAAGCAAACAAAGACCATATATTAAACATGATCACATGTAGAACAATGCTTTCACTTGGTCCAACATCAACAAACTAATTCCTAAGTTCAATATGCCAGGGTTTATAATTGAGGAAATAGAATCACAGATTCAATCCAAACAATCTAAGGAAGCATTCCATGTTCCGGTAACTGAATAAGCTAGCAACACACACTACAGTTTATTCGACACTTCGGATACAAAAAAATCAATACCCCGCGACTATTGAGTGCAGCACAAGAGCATAGTGCCTTCAATTCCCCATCATGTCCAAGACAAATAAAATGCAACACTCAATTGAGAAAATAGGATTACCATAACAAACCATCTCAAACCAACCCGGACAATAGTTCCGCATTCCGGTGACAACACTATCGGTGCAATCAACAACTCCGGAGAACATTAAAGCACTAATTCCCAAATGTCATACATAATTGTCACTTTTCCACAGTCCTGCCTCCCAAACAATTCACTCAAATACTCATCAATTTGTCCTGAAATTTGGATAATTCTCAAATGTGATTGATACTCATCAATTTGTTCCAAAACTTGGATGATTCTCAACTGTGATAAACATCAAACTACCCAAATTAGCTAAAATCTTAATCAATCATACAATCAATTACACAAACATCACAGAATTCGCAAAATTATGCACAAGTAAGCATAATTCGACACCAAATCAAGCAAATTAAAGCTCAAAATCACTCCCAAAAAAATCAAACAAAATGAAAATCATGAAGAAAGATAACTAACACTTCCTCTTGCGAGCAGCAGGAAATCCACAACCAGAGTAACGACTCTTCTGAAGATGAAAACTGCGACGGCCACACCTCACACATAAAGTGTGAGTCTTGTTCCTCCTCTTACCAAAACTCCCCGTTCCCTTCCCCTACAAAACCAAATCCAAAACCAAATTCAGCAAATAAGAAAAAAAAAATCATGTCTTGACTTGTGGTCTTAATTAGTACTTTAGAAATATCAAGTTTTACAAATTTTACTAATATATGTAAATCTACAATTAAAAATGGGCATTGATAAACGTGTCCAAAAAATATATACTCCGTTATTTAATAAAAATGATTTTTTTTTTAAATATTAATTAATCCTCACAAAATTCCATAACTAATTCACCTTGAATAAACCACATGAAAAACGTCGAATGTAAGTAATGTACAACCGTTTATCATATTTATTCATTTGCACAAAAATAAGTAAATTTGCTTTGCACTTTTCACTTAATTTTGCTCATCTACTTGGAATTAATAAATGGTCAAACGAAAGGTAGTAAGATCACAATTGATTAGCTATCTATTCTGAAGTAATCTGACATGATAAAACTATGAAGAGGTTTAAACTCACAAGGCCTTACACACAATGTACTTGGTACTTCACATTGTTCATAGCAATAGTTGCATGCACAAACACATTGCAATTCACAACAAAATGATCCTCTAAAAGTTACCCAATGAAGGCAAGAGTGCAAAATTAGTAACCTAAAAATACTTCGTAAAGAATTCTTATTTCTATATCATGAAGAGAAAATAGTACTAGAAAAAAAAAAAAAAAAAAAAAAAAAAAAAAAAAAAAAAGTGTAATGAGAAATTACAAGTCTAAAGGATTAGCAAATACTATGGTATCAGAGCTACTTCTATGTAACTTTATAATTGATTAAAGATGGTTGCTTATGCTGTTATACAAGAATGAGAAGGCAGGTGTGTTACAGCATATTCAATTAAACGGACCATGCTTTGGGTGGAAAATAAGTGCCCGCAGAGTGATAATCTTGAAGGAAACAAGTTTTGAGCAAGTACTTAGTTTTGTGTATCCAAGCCATGCTGCTTAAACAATCTTTCAAGTTTCAACCATCATAGATCCTGGCTCAACGCCTCAACACTATACCCATGACAAATTATTGATGAGATGACAATGCATCTTCAATTTTTAGTGCTTCAGCCAATAGTTCCGTAATTGTGCCATGTGCAACAATATTTCATCTCGGCCTTGATTGGTGACACTGCTGGTCATTATCCAAGGAGGTGCTGCTTCAAAGAACTCACGTATCAATTCCTGAAAATCTTGTACATTCTCTTCTGGCCTTTTACCCCCATTTTTCTTCTTTTTCCTCTTGTCGCATTTGGTGAACACTATTGTCATTGGAATCTGGAAATGGATGAAGACACTGTAAGTTATCATAAGCTTTAATCATCTCAATAATCAAAATCACTGTGGCAGGGAAATTAAACGTATGTCGAAGTCATACTATCCAGATGCCTCAGCCCTGTACACATCACTTAGTTGTTGTCTTTATATGATATTTGATAACAATAACGTGCAATGTTCCATACTTTTTATAACAAAGGAATTAAATTGACATTTGAAGAAACTAAACACAGTAAAGCACCATAGAAACAGAGGGAAATGATTATAGAGCCCCAAGCTGAACATTGAACGTCAGAAGATCTTTCTTGAAAAGCTAATAATGACGATAAGTATCCTTCTTGAGAATTCCAGGAGAAGATACCAACTGTAGGAGTATCTTCCACTATGAAAGAATAAAACCAATTTCTTTACTTTTCTATTTTAAAGTATGAGATAGGAAGACCAACCTTATTTTGACCCAACCAACTCGCATATTCAAGATCAATCTTTTTGGCAGGAATGCTTGCATCAATGAGAAGGAATACTGAAACCAAGGTTGATCTCTGAAGAAAGTAGTTCTTAGTGAACTTGTCCCACTCTATTCGGACTTCCCCTGGGGCAGCTGCAAACCTGTTTAAGATACACAAATCATAAAAAAGATAACCAATATGCACATTTTAAACTGTCATTATTTCATTATAAACAGGATTACAAGTAATGGGCAGGACAAAATAAATGTCCAACAATTTGGAATCTGAGGTTATGCTCGTAACTTTTCATTGGTTTTGGAATCTTCATCTTAGTAAAACTTTGTGAGATTAATCATCAGGCTAGCTAGAGAAACACAGGTATATGAATATCAGCATATGAGGAAGCATAAAAATCCTAAACACATAGAAAGCACAACATGCCATTTACTGACCAGCATAATTGGTGGCAGCAGAGCACAGAGCAACATTTTGAAGACATGTAAACGTCAACAGAATGAACACACTAGCAGTATTGAAAAGGTGAGTATTAAATTGGAATTCCTAGAAAGAGAATGTGGCCATGGAGGAAGGGCACAAACTGATAGCTTATGCCAGGAATAAATGTGAAAAGATAAATGATAGCATTCCACAATAGCAACTGTCAAGAGTACTGAGGTGGAGCTGGGAAGATATTACCAAAAGTTTAATATCCAGGCAATACATACCCATATCCAGGCAAATCCACCAGAAAGTCATTTACACAATACATACCCATATCCAGGCAAATCCACCAGATACCAGCTATCATTGATCCGAAAATGGTTAATCAATTGAGTCTTACCTGTAGACAATGATGAACAAAAACATTAGAATCACATGAACTTTCAAAGTCTAAGAAAACAAATGGGAAAACATTCAAAATCTAACTTTTACTTAAGTAGAACAAACTAAAGTGCAAGCATAATTCGAGTAAATCTGCACATATCAATATTGTTGTTTTAGCTAGGGTAAAAATTTTGCTCTTTTTGAAGAAAAGAGAGTTAATAGGATAACTATTGTATGGAAAAGTTACTCCAAACAAGAAGTCTTACAGATGGAGACTCGACATAAAATTAACAAGCTCAGGATCATGCTGCTGGCCTGAGTACTAGACATTTGAGGATCTGAGCTCATTAATCACATGAATGTTTCATCCACAAAAAAAAAAACACATAAGGATGCAATAAAACACTTCGAGTACAGAGTACTTCTTTTTAAACTGCATTGAAAAAGTTGCTATATAGTCAATAAAGATGTGCACTTGATGGAATTTAAGTTGCCACCAACAAAGCTACATACACTGCTATCTCTGGGAAACAACTTTCCATTGAATCACCACCATCGCCTAATATTCAGACGGTCTGACCATAGACTTTTATTAAGCTGCCCACCAAATATACCCAAGAAAATTGAAAGTTACATATCATAGGTATTAGGCACACCAATACTGGGTCTTAACAATGTTAAAGCAAGACTTTTTCACCCAGCAAGTGAACTGATAACTCAATGACTAAATTAGGTTCTATTATTCTAGTAAAGTAAGCCCAAAATCAACACATCCCTGCTAATTTCTCATTGCAACAACACTTTATTCATCATTTCTGCATTGAATCACATACGAAACAAACAATTGAATTACTCCGTAGTTAAATTTATAAAAAGCAACAACGTCAACTATGTACTCCTTTGAGTCCCTTTCATTCATATGACTCCTCACTATAAAAGAATACCAATGCAATACAAATTATAACCAAATTCTTAACTTTCAAAGCAGGGATTCAATTCGAGGTCTTGGGTACCACCCCGGGACTTTAACCAACTAAGCTAGCTAACATCCACACGAAATACTTTATCAATGTGCAATAAATTAAAGAAATTAAGGAAACTATGAATTTAGAAAAGCTAAGAAATTCAACTAACCAGGCTTCTTAGAAGTAAGGGCAAGCTTCTTTCTCCGAACAAGGGAATTAAGAAGCGAAGATTTACCCACATTAGACCTTCCAACAAGGGCAAATTCAGGCAACCCATCAGAAGGGCATTCCTCAGTTTTCGCACTACTCTTGACAAACTCAGCGTTTATCACTTGAGCATTACTAGCATACTTGCTAAGCACAATGTTAGACCCCTTCAAAATTCGAGCACTCGAAGCCGAAACCGAACCCGAAACCTTTGATATTAATGAAGAAATGTCAGTTTCTGGGGGCACAAACAGCTTATCTACAGAAATCTCAATCTGGGGTTGATCATCATCAATATCATCAATAATTGATTGTTGCGGGATTAAATTTGGGGATTTAGGGTTTTGGGTAGGGAGAACTGGGGATAATGAAGAGAAAAGAGAGTAAATTGGGGACTGGCGAAATTGAAAGAGGTATTGATTGAAATGGGGTTTTGGGGTTTTGGGTTTTAGAGGGAGGAGAAATTGGGTTTGAAGTTTGGGGAGATGAGATATTATCATCCTATGTTCTGAATTGGATTTTCTCTTTGTTTTCCAGGTTTAGAATATGATTGTGCAATGAAGAAGATGAGGGAAATGGGGTGGTGTAGATTACAGAGACAAGAGTGGGTTCATTACTTCATTTTAGTTTGGCCTGTTAAGAGTCGTTTCGTTGACGTTAATAATTGATGAAAATGATCTGATATCATTCCCCCCCCCCCCCCCCCCCCCCCCCCCCCCCCCTCTTTTTTTTTTTTTTTGGGTTAAAAAGGTAAATATATTTATTAAGGCCCAACAAGGCTCACAGTAGTAGCAGTAGGAGTAGCAATTAGGGGAGCTAGGAGTTCAGCATAGTTAAAGTTTACACACATATGTTCCATACATAACATATTAATAATACCCACATCCGGGCTTTGAATACTAGAGGGAAGGGATTAGCAGCTGGCTTCCACAACACCTCATGCCCACCAGGCACCAGACCAGCTTGGGACGCTAGAAGGTGGGCTTGAATTACCTTGCCTCTTGGAAGACACTGAACATTCAGCCCCTGTGTCCTTGTTATGAACTCCCTGCAAACACTTGCAATGTTAAAATATTTATCTCTAATTTTAGGAGCACCCACAATACTTGTAACAACAGTTCTAGAGTCAGAGCATGTGTTCACATCACTCAAATTCTGACATTTAACCCATGCAGTAGCAACTAAAATAGCAATAAACTAAGCAAAATTGGCATCTTCGAACTTGGACTTCAGTAAGAAGCCCCCTTACCACTCCTTAGAAGTGTAGCAATACCTCCAACACCCACCTCATGGTATGTTGGTTGAAGGGGGTATCAACTAGAATAACAAATTGAGAAGGATGAGGGGGATGAATAAGTTTGCTAAAGGGATGAGCTGGTGATATCATTTCCTTTGTTGTAGTTTGTTTGTCACTTTTTTCATTTCTTTTACCCATTTTATTTTCGAGTTTACCCAAAATTAGTCTAC